GGTCTGTTCGGCTCACCTGCTGTGTGACGCCAATGGAACGTACCACTTCGAGAGATGGGGTGGGCCCAAAGAACGTTGGCAAAGGGGTTTCTTCACACATTTTAGATTCAACTTTTTTTTCTTGAGCAAATATGTTAGTTTTGCATTGCTTACAGGTTATCTAAACATGCTTTAAATTTGTTGTTGTCATGAGGATCTTTTTCATGAACCTGATTTTTTTGTGCCCACCATGGGCAACTGGTGCCCCACACGCAGTGCGTGGTGTGCGTGGGCGGAGCACCGGCCCTGAACTTAAAACATACAAATGTTTTATTTGTTAGACTGATTTATTTTTTTAAAAGACATTTTATAAATTCATTTATATTACATTTATCCCAGAGCAGCTGTGTCACAGTATGGTCCTAAATATAAACAAGTTTAGCAAATCAAGAATGTTTTTTTTTTTTGATAAAATTGTGAATGAAATTTGTGGATCTTTATGATAAATTAAAATAACATTTAAAACCCACCTAGAGAACATGACAAGTTGTTTTTATTTATTTTTTAACACATATAAATTTTGACTGGGGTGTTGAACAGAGAATCATCTTTGCTTTAATATGGGGCAAACAAATGTTCTGTTAGAGTTAATGTGGTTTTATTAGAAAAACTCAGTGAATCTCACAGACAGCTGCGCGCAGCGAAGCGCTCATACAGCAGTCTCTAAGGAGGAGAGAGTTTAGTCACTCACAGAGTTGGACAGATCTGTTTGATAACAACATTCTGAACATATATTTAATATAAAGTTAGGTTTTACAGACCAAAGTCTGGTAGTTCAGGAGCAGAGTGCAGGAGGAGAGGAGAAGCCAGGACTGATCGAGTCGCTGCAGCAGCTTGAGTCGAGCCGGTCCACTGCTTCAACCAAACCTGCTCTCACTGAAAGTCCCTCCCTGTTCTGCTCTGATTGGACAAAACGGCTCTGGACGATCCATTCACACCAATGCTGCTGGATTTAAAAAAAAAACTTTTTTAAAGAAATCATGTTGCATTTGTGACCAAACTGGTTGAACTCTAGAGCCCTGCTAACTGTTGTTTTGACAGACAACCAGGTACAATCTTAGGTATGCAAGGGAGCTTTATGACGTTACATCTTGTGCGTTTTTTCCTTTTTTGACCGCGCATGCGTACCTGCGCACCACTTATGTGCCACTCTGAATATAAAGCTACAGTTCTCCTTTAATGTCCTGTTCCTGTGTTTCAGTGGTTCCTGAAGGTGTTCAGCTGCTGATTAAAGAARMTCCTGAAGAACAGAAGCCTGATGTGGACCAGCAGGACCAAGAACACCTCCACATAAAAGAGGAAGAGGAGGAACTGTGCACTAGTCTGAGAGCAGAGCAGCTCATTGTGAAGGAGGAGACTGATGTCACCAGCTTTAAATTCACTGCAGTTCCATTGAAGCATGAGGATGATGAAGATAAACCTCTGTTCTTACAGCTTCATCAACACCAAGCTGAAGTCAGAGATCTTCCAACCAGCAACTCAGCTCAGGATTCTGACTCCTCAGAAACTGAAGTCAGTGAGGATGATGAAGAGGATTCTGACTCCTCAGAAACTGAAGTCAGTGAGAATGATGAAGAGGATTCTGACTCCTCAGAAACTGAAGTCAGTGAGGATGATGAAGAGGATTCTGACTCCTCAGAAACTGAAGTCAGTGAGGATGATGAAGAGGATAATGATGTGAACAATCCTGACTCTCAACTGAAACACGTAGCAGACTCTGTGTCAAAACCTGAAGACACTGATGAAGACTGTGAGTCTTCTCCCAGCAGGGTTCCTGAATCAGGTGTAAAAATCAACAACAATGAACAGAAGTTGTTGCGTTGTGAGCTGTGTTGGAGAAGGTTTACCACAAAGAGCCATTTAAACACACACATGAGAATCTACACAGGACAGAAACCATTTTGTTGTGAGCTGTGTGATCGAAGGTTTACAAGAAAGGGCAGTTTAAACAGACACATGAGAAGCCACACAGGACAGAAACCATTTTGTTGTGAGCTGTGTGGGAGAAGGTTTACCACAAAGAGCCATTTAAACAGACACATGAGAATCCACACAGGACAGAAACCATTTTTTTGTGATCTGTGTGATCGAAGGTTTACTGTAAAGAGCCATTTAAACAGACACATGAGAATCCACACAGGACAGAAACC